GGATCCCAAGAGTCACTGGCCTGACCAAGGAAGACAGATTTGGGGTTCGGGATTTTATGTGGCTCTGTATTGTACTGGAGCCAGGCCTTGTCCCCAGGCCAGAGTTCTGGGTGCTGAGGTGGGGCTTGGAGTAGAGATGAAGAGGAAAAGCCTTAGGGGAAGCTCTGGCCTCGATAATGCCCTTTCCTCATCCCTGAAAGGGAACCCAGGGGCGGGTGCTGTGTGCAGAAGGAACCCAGAGCAGGAGGAGACTTGAGACTCATGTGGAAACAAAGAGAAAAGCATACATACCAAATGAGAGATTAAAATGCTGAAAACAATAAAAATAATAGGGAATTCCCCAGTGGCACAGTGGTTAAGAATCTGCCTGCCAATGCAGGGGGCATGGGTTCGAGCCCTGGTCTGGGAAGATCCCACATGCCTTGGAGCAACTAAGCCAGTGCACCACAACTACTGAGCCAGTGCTCTAGAGCCCGCGAGCCACAACTACTGAGCCCGCGTGCCTAGAGCCCGTGCTCTGCAACAAGAGAAGCCACTGCAATGAGAAGCCCGGGCACCGCAACAAAGGGTAGCCTGGGGCAGCCAAAGCTTTCTTGGTGGGTCTCTAGGTCTCTCTACTTTCCCACAGGCCTTGAACCAATGCCTGCCAGAGGTCCTGGCACATTGCAGGGGCTCAGCAAATGCTTACGGAATGGACGGACAAACATCCACATCTCTCTGTGCAGCTCTTCCTCTGTCCCCGTGTGTCCTCACAACACCTGCTTGGTGTGATCTTGCATTTACACCCACACAAGCAGAGAATCCACACACGGCATGTGCAATTACCTACAAAGACACACATAGGCACACAATCGTGGAATCACTCGCACTGACAACACACAGAAATATCCCTTTCCTCATGCAAAACAGACACCCCAGTTATGCAGTTATATGCCCAGCCATAGACAGGCCATTCATCTAATCCCTACTAGGTCCATGAGCAAAGCCTTGGTTTCATTCACTATCGTATCTCCAGCAACTAGAGCATCATCATCCCCATAAACAGAAAAAGGTTTCCTGTGGTCCAGGTGCAATTCTTCACATGGATTAACTCGTTTAATCCTCTCAGCAACTCTATTCCCAGCAACCCGTCTTGTAGATGGAAAAATTGAAGTCCACAGAAGTTTAGTGGTTTGCCCAGGGTTTCATAGTCATTCAGAGGCCATCAAGATTTGAACTAAGTTTTTCTGGCTCTGGAGTCCAGCATACAAAGCAACCACTCAAAAAATAATTCCTGCCTTAATCTAGTCAGAATTAGGGAACTTTCACAACGGAGACCACACCCAAACACAGATGCACAGTAGGGAGAATCACAGGAGGGCAATACAGACGCGCAAATAGAAAAGACCTCCTCAAGTGTCACACCCCAGAACACAGGAACACGCAAAGAGAGGCACATCGTGACAAACCCCACACAGATGCACAGCACCCAGAGAAGCACAGCACCCAGAGAAGCACACACCAAAGAGACAGATATATCTCTATACAACACACCCAAACCCAGACACGGTGACGCATCCAGAGCTCTGAGTCCCTACTGTTCCGCTCCCAGCCCCGTTGGGCTGGCCCTGGAGGACGCAGCAGGCTTACAATGGGAAGGGGGCCCCTTCACTTGCCTGCTCAGCCAGACCGGTTCCGCCAGTGCCATAGATGGCAACACCCGCCTTGTGAAACCCACGTTGGGCAACTGTATCCTGACCTGGCCTGGACACCTGAATTCTGGGGAGAAAGAGGCTGGAAGCCTGGACTCCTGGGTTCTGAGGGAGTAGGGGCTGGGTACCTCATTCATGGATTCTAGGGGAGGAGAGGAGTGGGAGTGGGACCTGGACTCTGAGGAGGGATTCCTGGGTTCTGGGAAAAGACCCAGGGACTTGGATTCCCCTCTTTGAAGGTAAGTTTCCAGATTTAGCAAATAAAAATACTGGACACCAAGTTAAAATGGAATTTCAGACAAACTGCAAATACTTTTTAAGTGTAAGTATGTTCCATACAATACTTGGGACATACTTATACTAAAAAAGTATTTGTTGTTTATCTGAAATTCTAATTGAACTGGACATCCTGCATTTTTTAATTTTTATTTATTTATTTTTTGCGGTACGTGGACCTCTCACTGTTGTGGCCTCTCCCGTTGCGGAGCACAGGCTCCAGACGCGCAGGCTCAGCAGCCATGGCTCACGGACACAGCCGCTCCGCAGCATGTGGGATCTTCCCAGACCAGGGCACGAACCCGTGTCCCCTGCATCGGCAGGTGGACTCTCAACCACTGCGCCACCAGGGAAGCCCGACATCCTGCATTTTATCTGGCAACCCTGTTTGAGGGGGATGCAGGCCAGAAGCCTGGAGACGCTGCCATGCTCACTCCTCAGCCCCCAGCTCTCCTCTTCCTGCCACTTCCCTCCTCCTCACCCCCAAGCAGGCCACCTCACAGCTTTCGCAGTCCTGATTTCCTCAAGTACATGAGTTTCTGCATGTATCTAATTGGGGCCCCCAGGCTGTGTCAGAGTTGGGAGAGGAAACTTGAGGACAACTCATGTTGTTGTCTTGGGAGCCCTAGGGTCTGACCCTGAGTCACCTGCAGCCCATGGTCTGGACAGCTGGGGGATGGGGCTCTGTGGCTGCCTCCATGGGGTAAGCCTCAGGATGGGGAGAGATGCTGAGAGAGGACGCAGAGGCTCCAGGATAAGGACACTGAGACACAGAGCTTGGGAAGAGAGACTCAGAGATGAGGAGACAGAGAACCAGGAGAAATTTGGAAACAGATCTGCAGAGATGAGGAAAGAAGGAAAGGAGAGATTCAGAGCCAGAGAGACAAAGATGCGGAGACAGGGGTGGGGAACAGGGACCCTAGAACAGAAGCAGGGAGAAGATGCTTCCCAGACATTCAGGCTCCCAGACCAAGTGATGGACACTGACAGACAAGACGCTGCGTGCTGCCCTTAGGTCTGGGGACAAGGACAGCAAGCCATCTGGGTGGTGTCAGGAAATTAAGGATTGTGGGGGGAAAGCTGGGATCCCAGACCAGCAGGGTGGTCCACCTCATCACCCCATACTCATACCCAGTGTGGTGACGGCACCACCTTCTCTGCAGCTGACACCCCAGTTTTCCGGTGCCTCGTACATTTTTGGAGTGACACCCGTGGTGGGAACCCCACCCAGCTCTAATTCTGCTTCCTTCACTGAATCACCTCCAACCCCGCCAGACCTGTTGAGGGGAGACTTTGGTGACTCAGGCCTCCAGGCCCCCAGCTCTTTCATCTCCCAGGAAGACAGCAGTCTGGGTATCCCAGGACCCCTACCCCACTCAGGGATGCAGCCTAGCTTAACCCCAAGAGTCTGGACGCCCAGCCCCCTCCTCCCTCAGACCCAGGAGTCCAGGGCCCCAGTCCTCTGCTGTTAGGACTCAAGTGTCCTAGACCACATCCACCTCCCTCAGGAACCAGAAGTTTCTCAGTCCCCAGCCTCCTCCCTTCCCAATTTGGAGTTGGGTGAGCTGTTTTTTTACTTTGGTTCCAGCATGGGTCACTCCCAAAACACACTGCCCCCCATGTGCCCGGTGGCCCTGAATGGGGGCACAAAGCCCCTTCTCCCCGGGAAGCCGGGGCCTCACTAAGGATGGTGGGAGAGGGCCCAGTGGGAGCCCACTCTGCAACTCTGCTGCATCACCGGCCTCTCTCCTCTCCCTGTTTCCCTTCCCTCTAAGCCTTGGTGTGGCCAGTGGCTGGTGCCTCCACTCACCTGACACTCCACCTTTCTATCTTTGTGTCTTTTTTCTGAATCTCTTCTCCCCCTTTCTTTTTATTTCTCCCCAGATCTCTGTGCCTCTCTGTCTCGGCATCTCTTTCTCTCTCTCTCCATGTCTTCTCATCTTATCTCTCTCCATCTCTCTGAATCTCCTTGTCTCTCTCTCCCCTCTGGGCCTCTCCTTCTGTCTCTGTCTCCCATTCCCTCCCTATCTCTCTTGTCTCTTCCTCTCTTTTGGTGTCTGTACAGCTGTGTCCCTTGCACCTCCCCTCAGCCTTCTCTCTCCCTCTCTTGGTCTCTCTGCCCACTTCCCTTTAGAACTCTACTCCCAGCTCCTCATCCTTGGACCCCCTCCCCCACGATTTCCTTGGTCCTCTGAGGCCAGGCAGGAGGCGGGAGAGGGGAAGTCCCAATGTGGGGAAGAGGGTCAGCCAGACCGGCTTGGCTCCCTGGGCATCTCTGTCAGAGCCCCACCCAGGGCCACGTGGCCAGCCCAGATATAAGCAACTCAGTTCCCAGGTGTCACCCACACCTCTGTCTCCATCGTCGCTGTAGCAGTCCTGCAGGTAGGAGCATCTGCCAGCAGCCTTCTACTCAAAGGTTGGTGCCTCTGCTCTCTTCTCCCCCCACCCAACTCCACTCACGTCTCTCTGCCCCCTTACATGTCTCTGACTGTTTACCTCTCTGGACATCCCTGTCTTTCTCAATACCCCCAGTGACCCACCCCCCTTTCTCAACCTGATGGCACTGAGTTGAAGTTGGAAGTTCTGGGGGCCAGTACCCCCTTTACTAACCCTCTTGGCTGGGCCATCAGATGTGAGGCATTTCTCTTCAGCTCACTGAGCCTCAGTGTACTGTCTGTGAAATGGGCTTACAGAAAAACAGTACTGGGCAGGTGTGAGTGTTACTGGTGGCATCTCTATAGGCACCTACCTCTGATCTCTTTCTCCCCTTGTCTCTGACTCTGCCTGTCTCTGTCTTTTGGTCTTTCTCTCCAGCTCTGCCTCTGGTATGAGGAGGGTCCTCTGGGGTCTGTGGGCAGCTGTACAGAGATGGGCGAGTTTCTCGCCCCCAACCCCATACAACCCTATCCCACGTCCCTCCTAGCTGGCAAGCTGATATGGCTCTTTCTCCCCAGCATCCTTACCCCTGAGAACCCAGCCCCCAGTGCCCCTGCCCCTTGCCCTGACCTCCCCCAGTATCCAGCATCCCTTGGACAGATTCTGACGCTGTCACCACTGCCACGTCTGCTGTCCCCAACGGCCACCTCCTCAGGGCCAGCAAGATGCAATTTGAGATGCACGACAACGTGAAAGGCAAAGGTGGGATCGCTGGATGGAACCCCAAACCTTCCAGTCCCCGGAACATGGCCACTTCCTTACCCTGGGCACCATGGCTTTGAAGACAGACGGCGCCTGCCTGCACCCCAGATGCCCCGACGTGCAGGGACCCAGGTCCCCAGGCCCAGGCGTGGAGGAACCGGTGGCAGGTCTCCGCCCCGCCCACATGTGGCGCCAACCTTCCCTAGACTTGCAGGCTCCCCGCCCACCCCACCTCCAGCCGAACCAGTTGTGCAGGAGGCACCAACCACAGGGACAGACTGGGGTGTCGATGCCCAGATGTGGCATAAAGAACGGGGGAGGCACAGTGGTGTCTCCTCAGTGGGCGGCCTGGTGGCCTCGCCCGGACTGCCCGGCAGAGGGAGGGGCTGCATAGGTGCAAGGGCCCAGGAGGTGCTGCGAAGCTGCCCGCTGACCCCCGCCTCTCCCCTCCGCAGCCATGTCCTACCCAGTGACCAGCCAGCCCCAGGGTGCCAGCAGCTACCAGTGCCAGCTCAGTGACTGGAACACCACTCTCATGGACTGCTGCAGTGACATGCCCATCTGTGAGTGCCCGCCGCCCCCTCTCCAGGCCCGGGGAAAGAGCGGGAAGGGAGCGAAGGTCACCCCCAGCCCCTTCCTCGCCCTACTAACCCCACTCCCCGTCTCCTTCCTTGGACCCTGAATTCCCAGTCTCTAACCCTCATGCCTTCCTGGGACGCCCGACACTCCCTAGGATCCCGGCCTCACACCTTCCAACTTCCACTGGGACCCTCAACGTCCCCCTTGCACCCTCACTTGTCTTCCTTGGGTCCCCAACTCCCCCTTCAAACCTTATTTCCCAATCTTGAAACCCCACTCTTCGGACCCCTAATTCCCTCTGGGACCCTCACTTCCACCAACACTCAGGTGCCTCCGGGCCCCTCAGCCGCGCGCCGCGGACCCCGCCTCGCCCCTCCCCGAGGCAGAGCCGGCTGGTGGCACCCGGTGGGCCCCGCCCTTAGAGCCCCGCCTCCCCTGCAGGTCTGTGCGGCACTTTCGTCCCTCTGTGCCTCGCCTGCCGCATCTCCGACGACTTCGGCGAGTGCTGCGGCACTCCCTGCCTGCCCGGAAGCCTGAACTCCCTGCGCACCGGCATGCGCGAGCGCTACCACATCCAGGTACGCGCCGGGCCCGGGACGGCAGGAGCCGAGGGCTGGGGACGGGCCTCCTGGGATGCAAGTTAGGACTGCTAACCTCTTTCTCCCACCCTCCAGGGCTCTATCGCGAAAGACTGGGCGGCCCTCACCTTTTGTTTGCCCTGCGCCCTCTGTCAGATGGCGCGGGAGCTGAAGATCCGAGAGTAAAGACGTTCCCCTCACCTTTCTCCTTTTCCACCCGTCATGCCTGCCCTCCTCTGCCTTCTCCTGGGAGGTCCTGACCCTCCGCCCTATCCCACTACCAGAAATGCACCCACAATAAAAAAAAAAAAAAACCTAAAAACCAACTCCGCCTACATCCTTTTTTGTCCCAGGGAAGGAATCTGGGTGGAGAAGGAGGTTTGGTGAGGGAGGCGGGGACACAGGGAACATGCCTAGGTGTGGAAGGAGTTCCAGAGTCGAGTCAGATGCTTGACCCGGATCTGCTGTGTGCGACATTGGCAAGTCTCTTCCCTCACTAAGCCAGGGAGTCCTCACCAACAAAGTAAAACCACCAACTCCCTAGCTGCCTACCTGAAGCTCTGCCCAGAGCCTGAAAATTAGCAAAACCAGAAAGGCTGTCTGAGGACTGTCCAGGTACCAACCATTCAAAGAAAAAATTAGGAGAGCCCCCCTGCTCATTCAATACCTGTGGACTCTTGGCCTGCACACAATCCTAACAGATGCGGAGGCTCTTTGTCTTCAAAGCACAGAACTGTCAGGTTTAAGACTCTCTAGAGCTGAAAGGCATACTCAAGGATCATACAATTCAATCCACCCCCTTTATTGAAAAGCAACTAGCAGATTAGAAAATGTTTGGGTCTCAAAGTTGGACAGACCTGGGATTCAATCTTGACTCTTGCCACTTACCAGCCGTGTTCTCTTAGTAAATTAATAAACCTGAGTCTGTTTCTCCCTCTGAGGATAATCCCTAATATGTCATATGGCTACTGTGAGAGCAAGAGATGGAACAGATGGAAAGACCAGAGTCAATTTAACAAACTGTTGTTAATAATATTATTATGTAATAATTTATAACTATTCTAATATTAATATATTATATTATTTGCTATTCTTCTCTCTGTGTGTGTATTCAACCATCGAGTGACAGTCTTCACTTGGAATGTCTAATAGGCATCTTAAGTTTAACGTGTCTAAGATCTGACCCCTGACTCCCCACCGCCCCAAGTCTGCTCTTCCCACAGTCTTCCTCATCTCAGGAAATAGCAAACTCCATCCCTTCTGTTGCCCACTTTCTCTCTCACCCAGTATCCAAACTGTCAACAAATTCTGTTGGTTCTACTTTCAGAACAGATCCAGAATCTCCCTCCTCCTCATTCTACTGCGCCTCCTTGTTCCAACCACCCTCCTCTTCGGCCTAAACAAATGCAGTGGCTCCTCACTGGGCTTCCTGCCCTAACTCCACCCTTTTAGTCTCTTCCCCACGGAGAAGCCCTGTGGACATCTGAAATAGATCACATGCCTCCTGTGCTCAGAACCCTCTGCTGGCTCCTCCTGCACGTAGTAAAAGCCAGAGTCCTCACGGTGGCTCAAGGACCCACACAATCTCTCTCTTATTCCCTCTGTGACCTTACCTCCTCTTTATTCTCTCTACTCCACGAGTCTCTTGGTTGTTTCTCTAAGATGTTAGGCACGCTCCCACGTCAGGATCCTCGCACTGGCTGTTCCCTCAACACGGAATTCTCTTTCCTCAGATGTCCCTATGGCTCACTCTTTCACTTCTGCTCACATGTCATCTTAAGAGTGAGGCCCGGGACTTCCCTGGCGGCGCAGATGGTTAAGAATCCGCCTGCCAATGCAGGGGACATGGGTTCCATCCCTGGTCCGGGAAGATCCCACGTGCTGCAGGGAAACTAAGCCCGTGCGCCACAACTACTGAGCCTGCACTCTAGAGCCCGCGAGCCACAACTACTGAAAACCACGCTCCTAGAGCCAGGGCTCCGCAACAAGAGAAGCCACTGCAATGAGGAGCCCCTGCACCGTAACGAAGAGTAACCCCAGCTCGCTGCAACTAGAGAAAGCCTGCACGCACTGATGAAGACCCAACGCAGCCAAAAATAAATTTTTTTAAAAAGTGAGCCCCCCCCCCACTTCCACCTTACATTAAAGAGCAAGTACCTACCTCCCCATCCCCCTCCTTCACTGCCTTGTTTTTCCAGTCATTTTCCAACATACCGAATCTTTTATTATTTGGCTCCCCACTGGCTTGTCAGCTCCATGAGAGCAGGGACCTTGTTGACGGCTATATGTCCAGAACAGCGTGGAGCCCAGTGGAGGTGGAGACAATGTGTGATCACAGGTGGGAGACGTTGGCTTAGAAAAGGGAAGAGATTTTAGAGGTCATACATGGGGGCAATGGAAAGTCAGACAGGCTTGTGTCGGAATCTGGACTCGTCTACTAATCTGCCCTGAGTTTTAGGCAAGGGACTTAATTTCCGAATCTGCAGAATGGGGGAACAGGCCCATACCTCGCAGCTGTGATGTTGGGAAGATTAAAAGACTCATTCCAAGCACCCAGCACAGCGCTGGAGTGCTGTAGGCCCTTGGTAAAATTTCTCCTGAAGTCCCTAGGCCATCAGTGGCCACACATGGGCTAGAATCCAGGTCCCTGGCATCCCGTGTCCAGGCTTTCTCTCACTTCACCACAAGCCCCTTGCATTCGGGTGTGTGGGTACCAGGGAGACGCAACTGCTGAGGGTTTGACGTGGAAAAGGAGGAACACATGCTGTGGGGCACTGGCACAGGGGCAATCTGCATAGCAGTGACAGGAGCTGAAGGGAAGGTGGCTCTGTGCCCCAGAGGAAAAGTCCAGTCAGAGTGCAAACGCGCTGCTCAGGAAGGCAAAGTCACAAGGTGACTGCTAATAAGAGACCTTACCAATGGGTCCAAACATAACATGGAGGAGTCGGTTTTTTTTTCTTTCCCCTAAGCATTTAGCAGGACCTGGCAGAGGGCCAGCACTTTTAATTTATTTATTTTTGGCTGTGTTGGGTCTTCGCTGCTGCATGCGGGCTTCCTCTAGTTACAGCGAGCGTGGGCTATTCCCCGTTGTGGTGCGCGGGCTTCTCATTGCAGTGGCTTCTCTTGTTGTGGAGCACGGGCTCTAGACGCACGGGCTTCAGTAGTTGTGGCCCGTGTGCTCTAGAGCGCAGGCTCAGTAGTTGTGGCGCATGGGCTTGGTTGCTCCGTAGCATGTGAGATCCTCCCGAACCAGGGCTCGAACCCGTGTCTCCTGCACTGGCAGGCGGGTTCTTAACCACTGCGCCACCAGGGAAGCCCCATGGAGGAGTCTTGAATAACCACCTTAACTCCTTTCTGGTTATGCGGGATGACCCCACTGGCCTCAGGACTCCCTGAGGCAGCGTGTCCCACTGCTAGTTGGCTCCCCAGTTGGGAAATCCTGCCTTATCCTGAGCAGACACTGACCATTTTGAACACCTACTCCTAGGGTCCACTCTGTGCTGAGACAGCTAGGTCAACTTATGCTAAATAAAGCAGTCCTCCCTTGGGAAGTGGAAGAGCCTGGTGGTCAGGAACATGGATGTGAGATTCAGGTCTGGGTTCAAATGGCAGCTGTCGCTCAACAGCTAAACAATGTCTATGAACTTCTGTCTTCTCATCTGCAAGATGGGGATTACATGGTACCTACCTCATAGATTTGATTGTTGGAAAGAGCATGATAGCGAGCCATCTAGCATTGGTATTCAGTAAAATGTAAGCTCACAGTCACGTCTTGGAGGTTAGGTACGACTATCAGCTCATAAAGGCAGAACGTGTGGGCAGAGTAATCCCTGAAAACTCCTTAAATTGCTCATAAAGTCTGAAAATACCATGATATTCACAGGCCCCCTAAATCCAACACATCGTCATGTCCTTGGCTCAGTAGCAGATGAAGCAGCCGGCCTGTGCCTAGGGGCTGCGTTGTAAGTACACTGTGGGACACTCCCAGCAAGACTCCCACGCTGAGCGAGGCCCCCCGACGGGATGGAGATCTCCCACTCCCACCTTCCCTCGCAAAAGCGCTCTTGCTTGGCCGGGGGACTGGCGGATAAAAGCTCCCATGATGCTTTTGGTTTGGGCTGTGAGAATCTACTTGAATTAGAGAAAGCTCACCGTGCTAGGGCCTCACCTCAGTCTTTGCGCTGCCTGAATTCTCTTACGTCAGGGGCCAGAATAAAACCCAAAGCTGGGAGCAAGGCAGTCTGTTTTCCTTCCTGAGACGAGCAGGGGTCTCCTTGTGACGGGGATCTGGGCAAGGGTCAAAGGCCTCACTGCCCTCATGTCCCCTCAGTTCATCCCTCCTGGGGAACAAGAGCTTCTGTAGTGGCACCACCCCCGCCAGGAGAGACAGTGAAGAGCCAGGCTCAGGCCACATGGCTTGGAGGGGGCACTGAGATAAGGACATTTATCTGATTTATCCTGCTCTCAGGTGCTGGGTCAGAAAGCCAAGACGGCCCCTCTGCTGCACACAGACAGCACTTGGACACTGGATCTTCCCCACACTATTTGTTGCTTTAAGCGCTCCCCCTCTTTCAGACGGCCTCTGAGGGCACACATGGCCTCAGATGGAGAGGAAGACACGGGGCCCAGCTCTCCAAGGTCCAACAAAACAGCTGAGGGATGGAGTCTTGGGAAAGGAGGAGTCCCAAGTTCAAGATGGTTAGGATGGGGTGGGGATGGGGGGCAGAGGCGGTCCTCAAGGGGCAGAAGGGCTCAGCAAGGTGGTGGCTGGGGTGAGGGTAGGCCCTGGGGAAAAGCCAGATGCTGCTTCAAGACAGCATTGTCTGGGAAGAGAGCTGTATGTTGAAAATCCTGCCATTTCTATTCCCAACCCTGGTGTCCCCCACCCAACCCTGCCCTTCCTGGGGCGGCATCTCAGGCAGGGGCTTTGTCTTCTTATGCCCCTCTGAGCACAGTGACCCTGGTCCTGGGGTCAGGAACCACCACCTGAGCCTCGTCCCTCCAGCCTAGCGGTGGCAGCAGCGGCATCCTGCTCTGGCTCGCCCCTGGGCTGCCTCACTGTCCCATCTCTTCTAGGCAGCGTCCCTCACCAGTACAGCCAATCCCCGCACTCAGCTCCCTTTGCTGAAATACTCCGGGTGACTCTGTTTCCCTGCTTGGACCTACCCGAAGAGATGTCTCTAAAGGGGATCTTAGGTCTAAAGCTGGACTCCTGGTTTCCCCCCACAGCTCCAGTCTGCCCCGTCTTTATAAACCCACCTTCCACCCACAGTTTGGGCCACAAAGTTGGGGTCAGCCTGGACTCCTTCCCTCCCTCACTCCGACG